AACTGAACTTCTGCAAGAAGGCTCTTGTGTTGTACACGAGGTCTGTCCGATCCGGTGACGATGCCTCTGGGGCAGGAGGGGAGGATGATGTCCTGCTTGGGGCACCAGCTGGAGCATTGTGTGCCTCCCAGGATGAAATGCAAACTCTGCAGCTGCAGCTGTGGCTGAGCTGGCAGCGGTGCCAAGAGGCTGCCCGAGGCGTGCGGGTTTGAGGGGCGGAGGACGGCAGTGCAGCCGGGTGGTCTGGTGGGCGAGAGGGAACCCGTGTGGTCCATGACGGCCGTTAACAATAATGATGTTATGCCATTGACTGAGTGCTTGCACCAGGTACTGCCTCAACCAAAAATTCAGCAATGCCTCATTCCTACGTGGCACTTCTTACCAGGAGACTTTCAATGGAGAGAGTGTATTAATATCCTTCGTTTTACAGAAATGACAATTGAGCGATGAAGAGATTTCCACCAAAGCTAAGTGCTGAATTTGTCTTCCCCATCATGCTCTGGGTCACAACCGTGTGTTGGAAGGATGGGGGGTCCCTGGGAGTTTGGCTCCACATGCTCCACAGCTTCAATGATGATGCCCTGGCAGGAGGGTGGTTCTGCGTCCAACAGAGTGGTTAATGTTGTGGAACAGCTTTTTAAATAAAGTTAAATATGAAAATCTAGGTCTCTGTCCATCTTAATCCTCTTTTAGATAATTTCCACTGGTTTGCTGGATCGTTTTTTTCACAGTGCAGCTAATCCTAAAAGAAGTAGCGAGGATTTTATTTTCCAAAATATCTCAGTTACTCCAAATTTGTTCAAATTCCTGAATTAATATATATGTCTATAACTGGAGGAAAGGCAGAGAGAGAAAAAAAATACACTGTCTGATAAAGACTCAGCTTTGACAGTCTCCTTGAAAAACGTCAATAATAGCAGTGTGGAGCAGCTGCTGTTGTGTTTGGCTGTGGAGTGGGACTGTTGAGCCGAGACACTATCTGCCAGTGCCATTTTATTGAGGAATTCCTTAACGGTTTAAAGCAAAGACCTTCACACAAAGCCACTCGCATCCTCTCACAACTGGATCAGAAAAGGGCTACCTTTGGCAGGTCCTTGCAAATGTCTTGAAATAATAAATATTCAGGATGGCATAGAGCTGGAGAGTGGAAGGGAAGGGGATGCTGGGGGAGGCTGGCCTGTGGTATTCCTGCCGGAGTAATAAGGGCAGTCTCTACCCAGAAGAAGAGTGTGACACGGAAGTTATTGGGGAATTAAAAGGAACCGTGAAAGAATTTGTGCTGGCATCATCACCGCGCTGTTAAATGTTGGTTTTAGCAGCAGGATTACTGCAGGTAACAATGTTTTGACTTCCAAGCTGAGGAAGCCTCACGCTAAAACCAAAACACAGTCAGTCTAGGTGGACTGCAGTCATCACCAGGATGTTCAGAGAAAACATGGCTTTTGGGGGCACACTCAAGACTGAAAACATTACATGCTCGGATGCTCTGAAAGGTCCTTAAAATAAATTTACTAATTTGTAAGTTTTACTGTATCAAAGTTAACTGTAATCCAGGGGGATGAAAACAGCTGGAATGAGTTAGGGGGAGGATGAGGATAGTATCCAATTACATGATAGGAAATTACTATGAAATGTATTTATGTAGTGTTAGTATGAAACAGCTAAACTAATTATTGTTTTTAAAGACATGAGCATATCCAGTGTAAATTAGATGTATCCTGAGCCTAGACAAAGTGCAGATCAGCTGATTGTTCATTCATTTAATCAATAGCACTGCCTGTGCTTTTTCATTGACTTCTTAATGCTAAATGGTAAACACTAACAGCCAGATCTGCAGCAGTCTAAATTGGCCTAATGGGTCATTAGAGCTATGCTGCTAAATACCAACTGGGAATCTGGTGTGGACTGTAGACTGGAAATTCAGGAAATGGAATTGTGCTATTTTGTAACATGTTTCATTCATTTCTTAGAGTCCTCTGTATCATATAGTGGCTTATTTGATTGCTGTATTGAACCAAGCAGGGATACTGTTAGCAACAAATAATGCAAGAGGAACTGGATTGAAATTGGATTGCTAGGCAAAGCCTGTTTGATGGGACTCCAAGTTGATCAATTGTGCAGGGCTTTAAATTGCCTGCTCAGTGATGGTAGAAGAGACGAGTAAAAGGCAGGCATTGACAGTTCGAATCCTCTCTATTCTGTGTCTCTTTACTTCTCACCATCCTGTTTGCAAAATGAAATTACTGGTGTCTTTATGTTCCTGGACCAGAGAGTTTGAGCACCAGGTGATGTAGCTGATTGATAGACACATTTAACAGTCCTACACTCTTCCAGCAGTGGCTTTTGTAACTCTCACCTGTATTACAGTGTGGTTTTTTGTTGGTATTTTTTTTATTTGATCTACCAGCTAAAATAGCACCCACGTGAGTCCCATTTCCTGCCTGTTGGGTGAGATTGAGGCCTTTCTTTAGGCCTCTGGTGTTTTGCTCTGCTTTCTTTCCTGTTTTTTTTTGTGGTATCACTTGGTCTTCAAGTTCAAAAATGAAATGAGTCACTTGTATAAAGAGGAAGATAATTCAGAGTTATAATTAAAAGCACAAAGACTTTGGAAGTGGTGTTATTAAACCTCATAGTATAGGGTTTAACCTTATTCAGAAGTCAGGTTCTGAACTTCTGGGAAAGAAAGGGTGGCAGAGTATCCCAAAGCTCTGTTTGTCATCAATGGACCATCAGATGACAACAGGATGTGAGCTTGATAACACCCAGAGATGGTTCATGGTGCCTTGCAGCCAACATACAAAAGCCACAACCATCTTCAACTGTCACATGCAAAGTCTTCGAAGGAGATTATTTTCCTTGTTTTGCATTTGGATGTAGAAGACAAATACTGCTTATGAGGAGGAGGCAGTCAGGCCTCCTAGAAAGGTTTTTCCTCTGTAGTACTTCCCCAGGGAGTTATGTAGAACAGTGGTTGTACATGGTGAAGCAGAGCTGTGCTGTATTTGCAGACCTCTGGGCTTGAAAAGGCTGGTGACACTTCAGTGTGGTAACTTGGTGGAGGGGTTATATTTACAGCCAGCTGAATGAACCCCTGTGCTTCCTCCTGGAGACAGTGCTCCAGCTGCCCATTCTCTTGTATCCCCAGTTACAACCTGTGCAGGACCCCCTGTCTGGAGGGATACCCCATACGTACTGGTGCCTTCCTAACATTCAGGATTCGAGTGCTCAGGGCTGTTTTTCTGGATTTTTGCCGGAAAAATATTCTTTGGGTAAGATGATGTAGTGTTTTCCATTTACATCTCAGGGCTCAAGGGGAAATATTTCATTGTTTTCCTCTAGTGAATGTGAAGTCAAACATTACAGTGTCTTTCCTTATAGTCGAGGAGACTTTGCATGAGAAAGACTTCTTCTAGAGCACCTGGTCTCAGGAGACATGCCTTGCATTCAGCACTGTGGCTAGGGGAGTTATTTTGTTTGTAGCAGTTTGTCAAATGTGCCAGGCAATACACAAAAGTAGAATAATGTCTGATGTGAAGGTTTGATACAACCAAAGGGTAAGGAAAGGTGCAGAGCAAGGGGAATAGTCAACATATAAAACCTTACATGCTTCCCCACTTCCTCCCCTTGCTTTGCAGTATTTTACACCCTTCTGCTATCTCTCAGCCTTGGTGTAGTCAATCAGCTAGGTTTATATGGACAGCTTATTAAAAGTGGTGTTTTAAGACAGTTTGTATGTGAAACCCTTTTCAAACTGACTCAGAAGGGGACTAATATTGTTTCTCCCACCTGCCTTCCCAGCTTTCTCCCACAAGAATCAGATTTGTCCCAGTTTTTCAAGCTCAGTGACTGAGAAAATGAGAAAGAATCCAGCCTGGATTTCTTGGGTGGTACTAGAAAACCCTCTCAGCATCGTCAGGACAGCCCATCCTGTAGTGCCAATAAACTGTCAGTGCACTCATCACAGTGCGGGAGGAGTCCTTATTCTCTGCGTTGCAGATGTCATTGCAGCAGAGTTGGATGCTTGTACAAACAATTGAAAAATCTTGCGTTTAAAGTTCTTGTGCACATCCATCTCAGATTGTGGTGGCTTTCTTGCAGGGATTTTAAGAGTAACAGAAGATCTGTTTTAAGGCATCATCCTTCCCCTGGCTTTCCAATGCAATCTCATTTTAACCAGCCACACCTTCTGGTTTTCTTTTTCTTGACCTTAAAATAATGGATAAAGATGCAGAAACTACATCTGCTGTGCAAGTAATTTTTGTCAGCTACAAAATCAGTATAACTGTTCAGTAGTGATGCTCAGATTTAATAGAAAATACTGCACTGTTGTTTGGTTATTCATGGGGTTTGTTTTTAATGAAAAAAGAGGGAAGGAAGAAGACAATGAAATAGGAACACCGAGGCTAATACATGTGTCAATGCAGCAATGAGTTAGGAAAGGGCTATACTGTTTATGCCAGAGGAAAAAATTGTACATCAAAGAAGAGGGGAAAGGCAAGAGAAAGAGGAAATGCAAAATCAAGTATCCAAAATGTTCTGTGTTGCCAAAAAGATGCAGTAAGTGGCAAAAGGCAGATCTGTGTAATCAGAAGCAATTATTTCAAGGGAAGTTTCTCTTGTTACCAGGAGCATTAAATGCTGTTTTCCATGAACAGTAATCAAATAAATAAAAGCACAAGAAGTGGAGGTTGTCTGATTTGATCCTGGTTTTAGAGTGTGAACATTGAATTACTTGTGGCTACACATAATAAGTCGTGCTGTATGTTTCTCTGTGCATGGAGAGGAAGAGATATGAACAGATCGACAGCCTGTTCTCTTTTTGTAAGCTGCCTCAGCTGCATACTGCCCTTGAAGGCTGTCTTGTCAATGGTAGCATTAGGGTTATGAACAAGAATTATGATCGGAAGGCACTCACTGTGGGGAGATGCCATTTCGCATACTCAGCAGAGCTGCCCGGGGTCATCGCAGCTTCTCGCTGGTCACACAGCTATTGGCGCACAATGCAAGTGCCACCGATTGCCCCAGGAGGTATGACTTGGATGCTGATGACATACTTAGCCAAACTGAGCTGGTGCTGGAATAAAATATGCCCCAAACTATTCCTGGCACATTAATTTTATGCTTAGAATCAGATACACCTCTTGCGATCTTTTTCCTCCCTGAAATGTTCACATTCTTGTATGCCAGTCCCTGAATTAAGAAGAAAAACGGCTAATACGGTACTTCTGAGACTAGTGTTTAACAAAAATGTCAGATCTGATAGAGATCTCTGATGGATTTGAACAAGCAGCAGTGAGCTTGCAGAGCAAAAAGAAAAAATAGCATGGTAGATTTGTTTGCAGTGTTCCCAAAAATACAAAACTTGAAAGAATTGTCGTTTGTGGAGTACTGGTGGTAGACAGACGGCTCTGCCCACAAGTATTTTATTTCTAAGTGATTAGATAGCTAATTTGTCTTCAGACTATAGTTGTCTGTAAAATACAAGGTTGTATATGGTGCTTATTAATGTATACAGAATATACTATTAAATGTTTATATATGCAGTTGCATTGATAAATGAGAAGGCCGTGGCGGTCTGCCTGTCCCCGCATTTGTCCTGCATCGTGCAAGCCCTGGTGTGCTTGTTGTGTCTTGTCTGCTGTTGAAGTTGTAACTTCTAACCATCTTAAACCATGTGGTTTAGGTGCTTGATCAATCCTGATGTAAAGATTCTTTTGAAAAATTGGTAGTTACTCTTGCTGTGTCAGAAATAAGAGCTGATTTACTAATTTTTGTAACTTTGAGTTGAAGTTCTTCCATGAACCCTGCTGGTTTTTAGCCTGATAGGTGAAGGGAGCCTTCTTCTATTACAGAGTTTGTGCTATATGTCTGCTCACAAACCGTCATGAAATTATCTTTACAGTTTCACTTGACTGAACAAATAAAAATAACTTTTTTAGTGGCTTGCTGTAGGGCAGGTTTAAAAAGTTTTAAGGCTTTTGCACCTTTTAAAACTTCCAGTGCAGTGCACAAACATCCAACAGGGTTTTTTTTGCATTTGGTGTACGCACAGGTGATATTACTGCCTTCCTCCTCCACCTTTTCTTCTGTGTACAGCCAAGAGGTTTAGATCACATTTGGAAAAAATAGTGGGGAAGGCACACCAACTGGTTCTCTCAATCCTCAACATGATCATTTCTACTTCTACATCTGTAATGCAAAAATGTTCCCCACGCTGTTTGCATTTAGATGTCTGCAGGAAAGCTGGTTGCCCGACTTGTGCTTGGCAGAGCAACTGGGTATGGCTCTTGGGGCCGTGGAGACGGGGCGAGGTTGTGAGCAGTGATGCTGCCCAGAGCTTGCCCTACTGCCACTGTGGCTTTGGGCAAAGTCTCCACTGACCTCATTAAATGTGAAAATTAGCATGCTCCACTCTGCACTATGGCCTGATCTTGCAGCCCGTTTCCAGTGGTGTTAATCTTACATTTGTCTGAGTGAAGACTGGCTTGTTTAGAACCTGCATTTGATGAAACTAATAATTCACTTAATGGTGAGCTTCTAGAGTAATCTGGGGCTTTTGGAAAGCCCCCGCCATTCGCGTACTGCTCCACCCTGCTGTCTTCTGTGTGCTGCCTGCATGAAGTCTGGAAGGAAATCTGTCTGGAGGTGGTTTGGCTGGTAAGAGGTGGGAGGCTATCTACACTTAGCAGTGTCTCAGAAAACACTACAGCACCTCCTCCTACACAAATAATTACAGGACAGTAAGGGAGTTACCAAGGAAGAGGGGAAACGCTCTCAGGAGGGCAGCATGCGCTAATTTTCTGTTAAAGAATAGTTTCTTTGGCAGAATTGGCCTTGTGATGTCCATAGTTGTGAATGTGTTCACACTGTTTGGAGAGCTAGAAATATAATTACAGCTTGTATTTTCTTATTTCTTTACTTTTCAACAGAGTATTGAGAATTTGAAACGTGGAATTAACTGATGTAGTGTTCTAAGAGCAACAGGATCTGGTCTCTGCGTTTGCAGGAGGGAGCTATAAGAGAGTGGATGTGGGTACTTTTATGTACGCTAAATGTATTAGTATGAATTGAATATTGAGTAACCTAATTGGATTTTTAGCCAAGCTTGCCTGTCGTACTGTGATAATTGCCAGTTGTCTTGGGCCTTAAAGCCAAGTAGATCCTTCCCCACATTCCAACCTGTTTCATTCTAGCCATGATTTCCTTATAGGAGAGAAGCAGTGCTTAGGTGAGGCACTGATCTTGGTTCAGTCTAGTAACCAGAAACACTTCCCCACCGCAGGCACTGACATAGTCCACAAGCTGTCACTTAAAAAACAACTTAAAATGGTTAACAGCTTTGGCCTGGGCCAAGAGTGGTTCACTGTGGCTGTGGAGATTACTGGCAATGTCAGCAGTCGTAGGCTTCCCTTGGAGGCAAATGTAGCCATACTCAGGCGCACAAACCAAAATGATCCTCAGGAGTATTTCGTAAATGCTAAGGAGATGCCAGAGGAACAAGTGTAAGTAGTTGCTTAAAATCCTTTCTTGTGCATGAGAATTTTATTTGTTTATGGGGACAAAAGCAGAGAGCCATTCCAGGTCTGAAAGGTGGTCACTAGATATGGATGCCATCTCCAGACCGATGGACTACCAGTTCTTCTTTCTTCCTAGCTAACACAGGTCTTTCTGAGCAGTCTTCAATGACTCTTAGCAATCTGTGCAAATACTTTTCTTTCTTTCATTTATTTCTCTTTGGACTCAGGGGAACGGGGGGGACATGGACCAGATGACCTCAGAGGTGTCTACCAAACTCAACTGTTCGGTGATTCTCTGAAGGATAAACTCTCTGTTCTGTATGATGTTGATCAAAGAGCAGTTGCATTGTGCTGGGTTTTGAATGTTTTGTGCGTTGCCACATGCAGCTCTAGCCTGTGTCCATTGATCTAGTAGTTGGTGTGTCTGTTGTGGTTGTGCTGTGACAGTCCGTGTGAACTAAGGTGCTCCAGCTGAGATGTTTGGGCTGAGAAATGCAGAGGTCCACCTAAAGCAGAAACAGCATTAGAAAGCATGTCTGGCAGAGGTTGACAAAACATGACTTTGAAGTGTTTTTTAATACAAAGTTGTTCCGCTCACCCTTGCAAGCAAACCATGTTTGTGTAGTAATTACCACGCACCAATCTGGTTCCTCAGATTGCCCGTTTGATGCACAGCTTTGCCTGCAATAACAGTCACGATAGGGCAGCGCAGCGCAGGCTCCTGACACCGTGTCCCTAGGCACAGGACCAAGGTCCGAGTTATGGTTATGTGTGATTCTGATGGCTGGTCCAGGACCCACCTGGCGGTGGAGGGAAAATGCACTTTTTTCTCCTGCAGGAGGAGGGGGCGGGGTGAACAGGAGGCTACCAGTTCCAGGAAGTAATGGGGTAGGAAGGAAGCGAAAGTCTCCTTTCCTTTTCCCGCACTATCGCTGAGGTCTTCAAGGCAGAAAGGGACATGAACGGGGGAAGAGAAGAGTTTGTTGGAAGCGATAGGACTGGCACAGAGGACGTGGGCAGGCTGGGGAGTGGATTTCTGATGGGGAAATTGTGATTGTCCCGTGTTTGCAGCAGCATCTAAATTCTTGCAAAGTTAATAGTAATATAACAAATGTTGCTTTAACAGCTTCATTCTCTGTCACTCCTGTCACCTTTTTTGCTTACATTCTCAGGCACGACCAGAATACATTTTCTCTTTTGTCACTGCCTGCTTCTTCTTGTTCCCAGATATTCGACAACTTCAATTTAGCTGGTGTTAATGTAACTCCAAAGCAATTTGGAATTCTATTATTCTGAAAGAAGCTAAAGCAAAATGGGTCTCTTTCCTGCAGATGTTCGTGCACATAATTAAAATCATTCAAACAGTTAAGTGTGCTTAGAATTGGGCTCGGGGTTTGTACTTTATCAGTAATCTCCCATTGAAAACCAAGGTTAATTCATCCCCGTAATTACAGTTTGAAAGCATTAAAATGCTTACTTAACAGGTTAAAACTGTTGACTTCAAAAGATTTAACTGTCTGGATATAAAGTTGCTGCATGACCTGGAAAAAGATTTGATTTAAAAAGTGGAATGATTTGTGTTCATGTTTCCTCACAGGCATTTCAAGTCTATTTAATGGGCTTATTAAAAAATGTCTTCATTTTGGTTTGTCCTTTTTTCCAGTAGAAACTTCAGAGCTTTATATACAAAAAGTGAAATAGCTCTTCTGTTTTCATGGCTTGAGAGGAGGTGATTCAATTTGATTTGAGTTATGTAGGGGCTAGCTCACCAATCACAAAATGCAGGCTTATAAAATAATTTTTTCTCACTTTCTGATCAGAAAATTCTTATTAATAAAAATATTTATAATAAAATATTATAAAATATTCCTCTCGTGTAAAGAAAAGTCCGACTTTTTAATGAAAATTCCGGTTGCCATGCTGAGACCAAGTTACAGGAAGGTGTGGTTGTTTGGCTGTCCAGGACTTTGGGAAGAGCACCCACTGCTCTGGCTTTCCATTGAGAAGGTTTCCTGAGCCTTCGGAAAGCTGAAGGGTAAGCACGATCCTGCTGGTGCTGCAGGCAGCCTTGCCTGAAAAGCTGGGCTAATTTATGGGCGGTGTGGGAACTGCTCATGGGTAGGGAGTGGCAGAAATCGCATGCGGCGTCTGGAAGTCGGGGTGGGGGAACGAGGCGGTGGGTGACCTTCCTTGCCAGGGACCTGCACCTGTGGCTAACTGTGGCTGTGCAGCTGGCTGTGACCGTGGGGTTTCAGTGGGTGAGATCTGGGAGGTGGTCAGCTCAGTCTCTGCAGGCTTCTTAATTCAGACATAGAAGAAAACAAAAGTTTGGGTGATTGCCTGGAGAAAGCTCCCTGGTCTCGCTGGAGAGGGGCAGTTTTAGGCTTCTCAGTTGCTCTTCACCAGATCCAAGCTGACTTGCATGGGGCTGTCTGTGTATCTTTCGCTGGTTTACCTAGAAACAGCCACATGGTGCTTGGAGAACCAGGCCGTTTCTCATAGGGTTTTGAC